TATTAGTACTATATAAAATATCTACAACACAATTAATACCTACCTAACTGTTATTTGTTGACACCTAAATAATTATTTCGATTAGGTAGTCAGCATAAACTATATACAGTCTATAACTTACGCTTACCTAATCATTATAGTAGTATTAATTATTACAGTCATTATTATATGCTGTTATTATAATACTAATAATACTAATACATAAATATATAGGCCATATAGGTTAGGTAGGTACCTACTAGGTATTGAACAAATGAACAATGATAACTTTGGTATGTTATATTCATGTTTAATTATTATGTAAAATAATAATAGTCAGGGTTATTAATCTACTTAATTTTGTATGCTTATAAGGCTATAGGTAACTTATTTCCTTTAAAAAATAATAATTTATCAAAAGTAACATCAGATAATTTGTTCCTGGTAGGGTTATTTAKAAATCCGGCAAAAGAAAACATACGTTCAACAGGTGCTGAAGAACAAAACTTAGTGTTGAATCAAAAAAAAAAAATTKTTTAACAATAAAATAATTACATAGAATATTTAAAGATTTATTTTTATCAGACACAATTAAATATCTCTTAWACTTCTAGACGTAGGGTAGCCAATGGCTATAAAAATATACAAAACCCAACCTAAGTATAATATTTTAGTTGTTAAAGTAGGTACCTACTACCTAACTATATAATATAATTCAAATCCTAACATTGATTCCCCTTAAAAAAATTTCTGTGAGCGGCTATGAGCTTGGCTAACATTTAACAGTAGTTACAGAAACAAATTCACATGTCATCAATTTGAAACACAATATTCAATTGGAACTTGACTAAGTATTACAATCTACAGTAAATATTGATGATTAGTTTATAAAACTATTTTTTTTTACTGTTGATTTAAATTACAATTAAGCTTAATCGTTAAAAATTATTATTAATAAAATTATTCAATGTTTTTTTTTTTTTTTTTTATTAATTACAATTTGTAATATATAATCCATAACACCACAAGTACACCATAAATATTACCACTTACTAGTGATTTAAAAAAACCTTAGTAATTCCTTCATCTTTGCAAAATAACTATTTATTTAATTATATATTTGAACCAAATAAAATATTAAGTATTAATATTTGGTTAACTAGCGAACAAGAACCTTTAAATATAAATAATGGGCAAAAACGGTCTTAATTTGAGATATATAAKWTCAATTATCTATGAACTCCCTATGAAAGACTTGAGTTACCCTTCTATAATTTCTAAAAAAAAAGATGTAGTGGACTTAAGTACTTAAGTCAGCCAAAGAAGATAACAGGTAGTTAGGAAAAAAATAGTTTAGCTTGCTCTAAAAACATAAGCCTACTATATGTATTCTATTAAGATGATAATCTATATTATGGATAGATTAATGRACAGCCAAACCTATCTATTAATGCGGCCAATGCGGGCAAGATACATTTTTTTTAAATAAAATAGTTATACAAAATTTTTTGAATATTGACATACTGCTATAATAGGTATGTGTATTCAATATTCATAATTTTTTTTACTGATTTCAACATTTTTAAATGTAATTCTGTATCATTTTATATTTGCATTACTTATAAATTAATAATAAAATAACATAGGTTATTTTACGATTTTTAATTTGATTAAAAATACTTAGCGAATACCCAATATGGTAGGCCACATACTAAACTAATACTCTGAAAACTTAAAATAACTACAATAAAAAGTAGTCAAAATTGAGTTACAATCTTATTCTTAGATGGTGTCTTTATTATGTTATAACTACTAAACTAATTTATTTTACTATAAGGCATTGGTAATATAGTAGGTTAGATTAATTGTTGCCAAAAAAATGCTGTATGTTCCTGTGTATATTATTTAATAATATAGCTTAAGATTTTCAAGTACCCACAAATAATAATTTTACTTTACAACAAAATAACTAAGATTATTCTTCCCGAAAACCATAAGATTAATGAAATCGTTATTGATCCCTYGAAGTATAAATTAGATACTAGATTCAGCTTCTTACCATCAATGATAATGAAGTAGAAAATCAGAGCATTTATACTAAATTTTCAGAAAGTGATTGCAATTAAATAAATCACGTTTATTTTGTTTATAATCCTTGAAGTAAGACATTTTATTTATGAATACTACAATTAAACAATAATATGATATGTTTATGAAGCACTAGTTTTTTTAATACTGCATGAAGTGTTGACAAACTAAATTAATAATTAGTTACTACATTTATTTGATGGTGTTAAAACGGTTTGAAAGTGAATTGGTTTTAAATTTTTAAAGTACATAGTGCAAGTGTTTTAACTTTTAAAACGGTTTACATTTTTTAAACCGTTTTAACGCCATAATATAAACGTAGTGATTGTAAAAATAAATATAATTATAATAATAATAAAATAATAATAATAATAATAATACATATTAGATAAAGATTAATCAAAGATATAGACATTAAGAGGAACTAATATTATAAGGCATTTAGAAAAAGAAAACAAAAAAGGGTCAATAAGCTAAGAATAATMAAGTTAATTTTGAATTTTATAGATTATCTGGATTAATTGTTATAGTTAAATTTCTGTCAGGCCAGTTGATAGTTTTTGGCAACGGCTCCTATAAAGGTATAAAAATAAATATTTATTATTATTTCCTAAATAAAACAAAGATTGAAATTTAAAATACATATTACAAGCATTATAAATATATTTACCATAACTGGCTCATTGAGGAACTTTAAACTAGATTCCATTGAATCGAGGAAACTATTTGGCACTAGCACCTGCAACCAAGATCCTTGTGCTACAAATGGTTTTTCTTCACTGACAAGAGATCCAGATACAGAC